ACTTCACTCAATTCTATATCAACCAAAATACTCAACAGCGAATGTAGATAAAACCAACATCACCTACAAAATAGATTGCATCAACTGCGAAAAACACTACATTGGCCAAAGTGGACGTCCCCTTCGTCTTCGTATCCACGAACACAAGCTAGCTGTCAAAAGACATGATATCCACTCCCTCATATCACTACATACAGACAACCACGGACATCAATTCGACTGGGACAACGTTCAAATATTCGACAGAGGAAACAACAAGAATGCTAGAGAATTTTTAGAAGCGCTTGGTATTCCAGTGAATCATCAATCAATAGACACATCGAGATATACAAAATTTAATAACCGATAAGAAAGAAACCTAACACACAAAGGGTCAAAGTTCAAGCCAAAGAAACAATGAGTGACAATACAAGTAACCTAGAAGGTGTGAAAACACACAAAACAACCAATCACGTCCAAGGTGGTCAGCAACCAGGAGAGATGATTAATAAACTCGTGGAGAAATCTGAAAGCTCACTTCAAATTGATGTATGCGCTGAAGATGTCACCCATTAGGGTGATGTAAGCTTCGCAAATTAACTATCCAGCTCAGAAACACAACCACATCAAAAACTATGGCAACTCTTAGGTGGTGGTGGCAAATATTTCGGTGCTGACGAAACTTCAAAATCTCCACCTGCTGACAGGCAGTGTTTGACTGGCCTAGGTCTCAGTCTTTCCCTGGCTTCTGTTTTCATACAAAACTAATGCTTTTTTATCATGAAGACCTTCTGAAGACAAATCAAATTCCAGGATACCATTGTTGGGCTTCGGCACAAAATATCAAATAGCGGAGAGGTACACTTGACACCAAAGACAAGAAAAAACTGAAAGGAAAAGAAAAAGAAAAATTTTTTTTTGTTCCCCGGAGGAACATAGGGCTTCAAGCTAGTGGCTTGAAATTTCTGTAGCAGTGCATATTTTACAGGATGGAGTTACTCGCCTTGTGCCCAACCTTACCTCTTCACCAGCATTATTTCTGGCTTAGCGAAGTGAAGGAGTGCGTCGGTGGCCGGTGTCTTAGTAATGAAGTGACGAGAGAAGATAACACACCTGGTAACGGAATATTTATTAGCGATTTGACGTACACATATAGAGAAACTGTGTATGCCTCATGTAACTTGAAGTCAAGTGGTGGGTAGTGACTAGCAGTGAAATCCCGTCCAGGATAACGCGCGTTTCGTCCCATTTGGGAGTTGTCATCTGGATGTGCCTGCATTCCCCAGTGAGTGGTGGTGTTCCCACCTGGGCTCGAACCCAGTGCCCGTAGGTTCAAATAGGATGAAATGCGCGTTATCCTGGATTCCACTGCTAGTCATCAGCCACCAAGTGACTTCAAGTTTCATGACCAGACATTGTCAAAGCATCCACACAATGAGTCAACTTGTAAACCTGAGACTGAGCACTTTAGTCCAATCATTCGACGGAAAAGTCTAAATTGAATTAAATATGTATACCTCATATCGGTGTCGTCGGTGGCATAGCGGTTAGTACGCTCGCTGATCATGCACATGGTCCGGGTTTCGATCCCCGTCCACCGACGCACTCTTTCACCTCGCTAAGCCAGAAATAATGCTGGTGAAGAGGTAAGGTTGGGCATGAGGCTAGTAACCCCATCCTGTAAAATAAGCACTGCTACAGAAATTTCAAGCCACTAGCTTGAAGCCCTATGTTCCTCTGAGGAACAATGGTATCCTGGAATTTGATTTGTCTTCAGAAGGTCTTCATGATAAAAAGCATTAGTTTTGTATGAAAACAGAAGCCAGGGAAAGACTGAGACCTAGGCCAGTCAAACACTGCCTGTCAGCAGGTGGAGATTTTGAAGTTTCGTCAGCACCGAAATATTTGCCACCACCACCTAAGAGTTGCCATAGTTTTTGATGTGGTTGTGTTTCTGAGCTGGATAGTTAATTTGCGAAGCTTACATCACCCTAATGGGTGACATCTTCAGCGCATACATCAATTTGAAGTGAGCTTTCAGATTTCTCCACGAGTTTATTAATCATCTCTCCTGGTCGCTGACCACCTTGGACGTGATTGGTTGTTTTGTGTGTTTTCACACCTTCTAGGTTACTTGTATTGTCACTCATTGTTTCTTTGACTTGAACTTTGACCCTTTGTGTGTTAGGTTTCTTTCTTATCGGTTGATAAATTTTGTCTATTTCGATGTGTCCATTGATTGATGATTCACTGGAATGCCAAGCTTCTAAAAATTCTCTAGCATTCTTGTTGTTTCCTCTGTCTAATATTTGAACGTTGTCCCAGTCGAATTGATGTCCGTGGTTGTCTGTATGTAGTGATATGAGGGAGTGGATATCATGTCTTTTGACAGCTAGCTTGTATTCGTGGATACGAAGACGAAGGGGACGTCCACTTTGGCCAATGTAGTGTTTTTCGCAGATGATACAATTGATTTGCCGATAGCTAAACTCAGGACGATTATTACTGGCTACAGTGACCCATAATATTAATTAAACAAGAATTTTCAAATATGGTAGTCTCATTCTAGTAACCTATCTGACTCTCATCATCTACAAGCGAACATGGAGAAGGCAGAGGCACTACCCAACAACAACAACAACAACAACCAGTAGCAATCACTAGCAACGGGAAGAATTTGAAAGGCGTCACTTCCTTCACCCATCTATCTAGGAGACACCATCTCAGCTACAGGTGCTGGCATGGATGACCATGTCAGAACCAGAATCGGAAAGGCAAGGCATACACCCTCATCACTCTGAAATCACTGTGGAAATCGTCTGCACTCCAACGAAATTCGAACCATCAACACAAATGTGAAGTCAGTCAGCTCTTTGATATGGATGGATCAGAAACGGCTCATTACAAGAAGCAATTCCAACAGATTGCAGACTTTTATCAATAGCTGCTGTCGCTGGCTTCATATTAGAGATCGAATGGCCAGTCAGAAAGAATTAGCAACAAAAAACGGTGGGAACGAGCCAATCAAGAATCCATTAGTGAAGAAGTATGTCGAAGGGAGTGGAGATGGATCGAGGACACACTGAGAAGATCGTTGAATGGTGTCTCGCTACAGGCCATCTGTTGATTGGAACGTTGAATGGAAAACGACGAGTTGAACTTGTGTCTGTGTGTGTATATAAATGCGACTGTACAGCTTTTGAGAATGAAATCACCGAAAAGATATCTTTGCTGAACTTCTTGTTCTTTTCCCTCTAAAATGAAGAAATCCGTTGAGCCGAAATATGATTAGGGATCACATACTTTAGCATGGAGCGATCAGGCTATGAACGCTGAAGTGTTTGAATGAAGTTTTCCTGTACACAGAGATCTGGCTTTTCTGTTTCGATAACCCTTGTTGGCTTCAGCAATACAGATGAGTCGTGTATGTAGTGATTTCTGTAAATTAAATTTTCCCTTATAGATGACTTTAAAGGTGGAGGCTATAGAGATCAGTAGGTGATCATTATTGACCGGATGTTCAATTACCACGCTTCTAACGGCTCCATTTCCACCTCTTCACAACCACCAGGCAGGATAGTGTTCTTACACCCTCTTGGTCGTAACCCCAGTGGAACGACAAATATACCTAGCTGCATACGAGCAAGTGAATGGATAAACGCGCATAGAGTTGGTCGACAGGGGAATCTTGTTCTTCGGGTTGTTGATCAGTAATTGTCGACTGGTAAAGGCTATTCTCAGAGATGCAGCAGGGAATGTTCTTTTCAGGGACAGTGATATATCCTTCTTTTCATCATATCGGAAGCTAAGTCACCTTTGAATTCCAAGCTCATGTCTCCGGTATTGTTTCACTTGTCCCACTTGTCATTCTAAATCAATTCTTTTTTACAACGTTAAATTCTATACTATCAAATTTCACACAATACTACGTAACGTTTTCATTTAATTCAATTCGCCTACTAATCCTACGATTGCACATCCCTTCAAAGTTCTATCCATTCCATGAATTATTCTATATATGACATTAATTGTTTTGCCACTTGGCATTTAACTATGATTGTAATCACAAATATTTTAATTGCGTTTCATACTGCTACAATTATTATTTTATGCATTCACTGAGACCTATGATTCAATTCCCTCCCCCACCGGATATAACTTCTTGAAGATCAGTTCTTGACATCATTCTCCATCAGCTGATACGTGAGATAAGGTCATTTCGTTCTAGAGGCCTTCGAGTAACATCTCCTGTCCTTTGAGGAAGCTATTGCCAAACACAAAGGAAACCTTGAAGTGAGATATCGTGTGTGGAACAACTACAAATGCTCAGATCATCTCTAGGAAATTGAATGTTGGACAGGAGGTTAATTAATATCTCCTACTTACAGATAATTAAGTAGTTTGGGTAATATAACAAAATAATGTGGGAGAGTGCAGTTGAGTCAGCAGCAAATAACCGAGATTTATCAAATTATCATCATTTTTTCGATTTATTATTTGTCACTGAAAAACACAGTTTTTAGCATTAGTTTTTTAATATTTAGTAACTAATGACAAGTTGTCTCTAATGCAGATAACATTCAGAGTCATAAATTCTCAACTTACTGAAACCAGATAAACTGAAAAGTGAGGTGTAAGCGAAAAGCTTCCTGATTATGAAAAAATAAAAATGAAAAAGAAATGCTGTGTCTTTGATATGACGAATATCCTCGAAACACTTTTGATGCATACACTGTTGATTACTGTCGACTTACACTCAGTCCGTTGTGATGATTACACAGAATTATACAATCACACTGTTGTAAGCCTTTATCTGCAGGACAAAGAATATATTTATATGGCTTACAGTTGTACGGATAGTGCATTTGTTCAATTTACTTGAAAGTGCATATTCTATTCGAACAGTGACAGTGATTGGCTTTCACTGAACAATTACACACTATTCGTTCATATGGTGTTGCAGGTGGGTGTTTCTGTGCTGCTGCTGCTGCTATTATTTTTGTTGATGACACACTTGGCTCTTATTCTCCCGACTTTTGTATATCTGTTTCAGGCAGTATTAGTAATGCTGGAGTTTTAAAAGCTGTTGTCGATGATGTCATAGTCTGTACTGATTTCGATAGTTCAGATTGTTTTGATATTGACAATGGTGGTGATGGTGGCGGTGTCGGTGTCGGTGTTTCTGATCTTGGCGGTGGTGTTGGTGTTCTCTGCGATTCTCTTGGCAATGGCAATGGCAATGGTGGTTGTGACTGTGATAATTGTACTTTAGACTCAGTACTGTACTGTCCAGAAAACTCCTCGTCTGTTCGACATTCTGCAGACGAATTTCCGATTGTTTGTTCACGCTGCATATTTGTATTCTTGTTAACAAGAGAACAACCACACATACAATAATTATTTCCATCATTGAATTTACATTTTTGTAGACTTGATGTAGAAGCTGTAATAGTGAGTTTAACAGATGGCAGTTCACAATGTTGGATAGTTTTAGAGCTTGTAGCAGTTGTCTGATTCAGTGGAGGCTCATGTTTTGAAAGGGCATTTCGCTCAGTTGCATTATACACCGCATTCACTGGATCTAATTCATCCAGTTTTCAACATCTGGTTGAAATAATGTATTCAAGGAAATTTTATTCTCTGCAAGTACATGTTCAGTATTATCAATTGACTGGACTATTCTTAAATTCAAAGTACCCGGGAGGATATTTTCTTCTTTCAGCACTGCATCAGAGTCATCTGGTAATAAAGATGGAGAACAATATGTAATAGAAAGATGATGATGATTTCGACAGCATTCACAACATTCACAGGGATATTTTTGTATAGCAAACTGTTCAGTACCTATTGATGTTGGATAATTTTCTAGATTTTCATTTTGGTCAGTTAGAACAGGCAAATAGGGTGATTTGCTTATATCATCATCTTGTGATGACGTTTGAATTTCGCACAGGTTTTCGTCGAATGCTACATCTTTACTTTTGACGAGTTCTTGATCATCCGAACTCATTTGTTGTTGTTGTTTTTGTGGTGGTGGTGGTTGTGGTTGTTCTAGCTGCTCTTCTTGTCTTTGGTCTGTATTTCTGTTGTAATAGTCGAAATTCTCCTGAAGTAGTAGAACATACTCTTCCAGTGATAACTTTTCAACCTCTTCAACTTCAGTTTTCACAGGTTCATGTGATTCTCTATCTCTGTGTTGTATTGTAGTTTCAGTGACACCATGGTCTTCATTCTTGAATGACTTCCTGTTTTCTTCATCTTCTTCTTTAGACAGAGATATTTCAGTAATGTTTGTGAAAGATATTGGCGAATTTCTTGACGTTTTAGCTTGATGTGTTTTAGAGGTTGTATCTTTTGAAAGTGTAGCTTTATTGGAAGGCTTTGTTGAACGTGCAGGTTTCTTAATTTTATTGTCACTAGGCGTGGTACCTTTAGTCTTGTATGGTGACTTCTTTCTTTTAAAACAGAGTAGAGAATTCCTACTTTTGTCACTTTTATTGGCATTTGGTAATGTCTCACCACTGTCGGTGCTATCGTGAACATTATCATCATCATCATCATCATCATCATCATCATCATCATCATCATCATCATCATCATCATCATCATCATCATCATCATCATCATCATCATCATCATCATCATCATCATCATCATCATCATCATCATCATCATCATCATCATCATCATCATCATCATCATCATCATCATCATCATCATCATCATCGCCATTCATGTTTTCCGTGATGATTGTGGCTGTTGAAATTTTCAAGTTACTATCTGAAATAGATGGAATTTTGTTCTGATCTGTTTTTTCGCTTTCAGATGTAACTGAAGGCAGTTTAACAAGTGTAGGGGTTAATGTCACCACTGGGTCAAGTGGAACAACGGAAGTTCTTTCAATTTTAAATTATTCTGGTAAGCCACCAGGTAAAGAGATTTGCGTTTCTGATGTAATCGAACCTTATATTGGCTGTTTTGATGAGTATTGATTGGTTTGTTTCGGTGACAGCACTGGCGTAGTTTTGTAAATATGCATGACAATCATTTACGCGTTTTGTAAAATTCCCTTCCCCATCTCCTTTCCCACAACCTCGTGAAGCTGAATTTCTTCTGGTGCATCAAATGTCTGTGGATTCTCGGAAGTCTTCAATGCATTCGTATCGTCAATGGAATCCTCATGCGATTTCCCTCCACATGGTGACATTCTGCATTTACGGGTGGACTTCTCAGATCCACTCGAGGTGTCAGATCTATGGGAGACGTCCTTTTCACGTCGCTTCTTATCTTTACTTTCACGAGATCGACTACGATGAGACGACTTCTTTGCAATTCTCTTCTTCACAACCTGGTGTTCCTTAATTTCTTCTTGTGGATCAAATGTCTGTGGAGTTTCTGAAGTCCTCAGTGCATCCATATCTTCACCGGAGTCCTTATGCGACTTCCCTCCACACGGTGACATTCTGCGTTTACGGGTGGACTTCTCAGATCCACTCGATGTGTCAGATTTAGGTGAGACGTCCTTTCCACGTCGCTTCCTACCTTTCCTTTCACGAGATCGACTACGATGAGACGACATCTTTGCAATTCTCTTCTTCACAACCTGGTGTTCCTTAATTTCTTCTTGTGGATCAAATGTCTGTGGAGTTTCTGAAGTCCTCAGTGCATCCATTTCTTCACCGGAGTCCTTATGCGACTTCCCTCCACACGGTGACATTCTGCGTTTACGGGTGGACTTCTCAGATCCACTCGATGTGTCAGATTTAGGTGAGACACACAATCGGATGTCTTCACTGGTCTGTAGCTTGATGGCTGTGTTCTTCTAGTCTGATCTACAGTATGCATTATGTTCACCAACGTACATCCGCCAGCATCATCACCGTTGTCTGTTTTAGGTGTATAATTGACCGCGTTCGACTCACTTGACTGAAGATACTCTTTTGAACGATTTAATACAAGATCACAGTTTTCATATGACGTCCTGTAGGACTTCGATAGATACTTTGACATGTCAGAAGCAATCGACTGTCTACTTGTATCAGGACTATGCATAGCAGTATATTTGTTGGCTACATTTACTTCATCTGGAATGGCGTCAGATTCGTCAGATATTTTGCGATCTCTAGATTTATGTGGCGTTTTTTGTTTATAACGACAATTATTATCATTATTATCATTACTATTATTATTTTCAAACTGTTGTTGACTGTCATGATAATCAGAAGCGTGACATGATTGTTGGTACAGATAACCAATTTTACTTTCATAAGCATCCCTAGAAATTGTTATGCGGTAATACTGTAAAGCAGTACAACCATTCTTGAAGAGATTAAAAGAACCTTGTGACGGTGATAAGAAAGAGGAGGAAAATATCAATGTTATCTCCAGATGTGGTATTCGATGAAAATACAATATGTCGTCATAGTTTCGTCCAGATCTACGTCGTTTAAAAATATCAGCTTTATTCAACACTTTCACCAGTTTTTTTTCTCCAGGATATTTGCCTCAAGTGTTGCATATCGATGATTGAAAGTTTGCGGTCTGTTCACTTTGAAAACCACCGGTAAAGTGTTCATGTCTAGGGGTTCTTCGACGGTAGACGCATTCACGATTATGTAATAATCATGCAGTAGATTAGATAGAATGGACAAGGATTTTCTAAGTATATCCTCAGGGTTGCTTTCTAAGAATATTAATATACTTCTAATTCTTTTATTATCACTATCATTATTACTGTTATTACAATCATAAGTACAAATGGCTTGTTTGTAAAGATTAAAAGCAATGACTGCTGGTAGCTGCAATATTTCACTTAGACAGACAACACGTTTTCGTTCTGTTTGATATAAATGCGTATTTATATGTCTGATACCGATAACAGCTTCACTGTTTTCATACAAACGAAAAACATCCATCCATTCTCCATATAACAGGTGATTTCCATTTATGCCTACTGCAATTGTTCCGATAATTATTGCTCCTTTCATTCCGCTCACCAGGCTATCATGCTTTATGGAGCATATGTTATCCTTCAACTCGTGAATGTGATTATTCCTTTGTACATCTTTACCAGGACACTCGTCACTTCTATTTTCACTGAGCTAATAAACTCTGATGAACAGATCACATTTCAATCCTTGAATTCGCAGTGAAATACCATAACCCTGGAAATATTCAATTTTGAACAATTCATGCTCAAGTTCTTTTACATCGTCATTATTATTTTTTTCAAAGTGACTTAAATGTTGACAGGGATGATTTATGAAGATCATGCAAATTGTACTTCAAATTAAAGAGGAACTAAAAACAAAAGAACGAAAAATACGATTAGGTCAGTAAGGTGTTCGTTCACAAATGATCCTGTGGACGAGAATCCCTCGTCATCATCATGGAATAAAAATGTCTCTGAATTTTCTTTCTCTGGATAATCATTACTACTATTATTATTATTTCAAATCTATCCTTCCTTGTCCACGTGATCACAATATGCGAGAATCGATTTATTTGTACAGGGCTGGCTTTGTTGATAAAGAAAGGCAAGTTTATTTATTTATTGTATGTGTGCATATACAGAAATTATAAAGTGTGATGACAATGATGATAATAATAATAAAGTTAATAAACATAATTATAAGAAAGCAAAAGGTTTGATTGAACGTAGAAACATTTTCAATAGTTGGTTTGTAAGGATTAGATTTGCTTTGACGAGTTGATCACGGATTGTTATCAGTTAGAGAACCATTAAAAACCAGCCACAGGGAGTACTGCCAGACAGCTGTTTCATCGGCCTACTTTTGAGAACCATCGGCTGTACTCATCAACCACAGGCGGTTCGAACACAGGGCCTTCCGATTACAAAGCAAGTTCGTATACCATTCAACCACTGCGAACCAATGCAGTGGCCCATGAACTTTAACTTCTATCTGTTCTTTATTACACACGACCACCAACCAATGTCATCGGTGGGACATCTTTCCTCACACTTGGCTAGATGGACGTCACCAGTCACGACTTCTTACTAGAACTCTAGGAAACTCTGTCCCGTAGTAAGTTACTAGCGAACACCTCAGTGGATGCGTACTGCCGATAATTCTCAAAAAACGAGGATGAAACAGCTGTCTGGCAGTACTCCCTGTGGCTGGTTTTCAACGGTTCTCTAACTGCTATCAATCCGTGATCAAATTGTCAAAATAAATCTTAATTGTCAAAATGAGTGTCATTACTGTCACTGCCTTATGAGATGGCGTTTCCATTTCCACGTTTATCAATCAGAGAAGTGTAACGAGACCCTTATTCATCACCACACTGGCAATTTAAACTATTCTTTGAAGTATGCCCGACGTCAGAATGGAAA